TATCTCTAATATTCTTGAAGAGATCTCTAGTCTTTCCCATTCCATTGTTTTCCTCTATTTCTTTGTACTGATCACTGAGGAAGGCTTTCTTATCTCTCCTTGCTATTCTTTGGAACTCTGCATTCACATGGGTATATCTTTCCTTTTCTCCTTTGTTTTTCATTTCTCTTCTTTTCACAGATATTTGTAAGGCCTCCTCTGACAGCCATATTGCTTTTTTGCATTTCTTTTTCTTGGGGATGATCTTGATCCCTGTGTCTGTACAATGTCATGAACCTCTGTCCATAGTTCATCAGGTATCTGTTTATCAGATCTAGTCCCTTAAATCTATTTCTCATTTCCACTGTATAATTGTAAGGCATTTGATTTAGGTCATACCTGAATGGCCTAGTGGTTTTCCCTAATTTCTTCAATTTAAGTCTGAATTTGGCAATAAGGAGTTCATGATCTGAGCCACAGTCAGCTCCTGGTCTTGTTTTTGCTGACTGTATAGAACTTCTCCATCTTTGCTGGCAATGAATATAATCAATGTGATTTCGGTTTTGAGCACTGGTGATGTCCATGTGTAGAGTCTTCTCTTGTGATGGTTAGATAGCGTCATCAAATCAATGGACATGAATCTGAGAGAATTCTGTGAGACAGTAAAGGAAACAGGAGTCTGGCGTGCTACATTTCGTTCGGTCGCAAAGAGTTGAATACAACTGAGCAACTGGACAACGCTCCTAGGACATAGCTGTGTTCACCAGCCTGGAAGCTCTCTGAATCTTATTTGTTAACGGATTTTTATGGAGGCTTCCTCATGTAGGCGTGATTGATTATTAATTTGTTTTCCAGCCCCTCTCTTTTCTCCAGAGGAGGGGGGATAGGGCTGAAAGTTCCAAAATTCTAATCATGGCTTAGTGTTTGAAGACCAGCCACCATCCAGGATGCATCAAGCATCACCTCCTTAGAATAAATGATGCTCCTATCATCCAGGAAATCCCAAGGTTTTCAGGAACTCTGTGTCAGGGACTGGTGTCAAAGACCAAATATTAGCAGGAACCAGGGCTTCCCAGGGGCTTCCCTTGTAGTTCAGTTGCTAAAGAATCTGCCTGCATTGCAGGAGACCTGGGTTCCATTGCTGAGTCCGGAAGATCCCCTGGAGGAGGAAATGGTGACCCACTCCAGTATTCTTGCCTGGAGAATCCCATGGAGAGAGGAGCCCGGTGGGCTACAGTTCCTAGGGTTGCAAGGGTTGGACACGACTTAGTGACTAAACCGCCACCAGGGCTTCCCTGGCAGCTCAGACAGTAAAGAATCTGCCTGCATCTCGGAAGGCCTGGGTTCGATCCCTGGCCTCAGAAGGCCTGGGTCAGGAAGATCCCCTGGAGGAGGGCATGGCAATACACTCCAGCATTCTTGCCTGAGAACCCCACAGACAGAGGAGCCTGGCGGGCTACCACCCATGGGGTCGCAAAGAGTTGGACATGACTGAGCATCTTTCACTTTCAGGGACAGAGACCAACATATGTATTTCTTATCATTTTACAGTGATGAATTTTTTTTCTGAATTCTTTATCAAAGAAACAAGAAAAATTATGATTTTTTTTTTTTTAGAAAAGTTTATTTATTTTTGACTGTGCTGGGTCTTTATTGCTTTGTGCAGGCTTTCTCTAGTTGTGAGCAGGGACCACTGTTTGTTGCGGTGCTTGGGTTTCTCACTGTGGTGGCTTCTTGAGTTGCAGAGCATGGGCTCTAGGAACGCAGTAGTTGTGGCATGTGGGCATAGTCGCCCCATGGCATGTGGAATCTTCCTGGACCAGGGATCGAACCTGTGTCCCCTGCATTGGCAGGCGGATTCTCATCCACTGTGCCACCAGGGAAGTCCAATGACTGTTTTATAAGAAGAGTTATTTGGTTTTATAAAAGCATAATTGTGTTTTCCCCCTTCCTGTTTAGGCTAATCATAAAGACTGAATTCTTGCCTACAAAATATCGAGGCTACATGCTCCCCTTGTCTCAGGTGAGTTAAGACAAATTCTACCGAGTCTTTGGATCCTGTACAGTATGGTGTAGATGGTTTTTCTCCTGGTCAGTTAATGGTCCTTTGATCAGCACACTCCTGTTACTTGGTACCAGCCAAAGAGCATTAGGGATGCTTGACCATAGAAGTCAATTCCAAGGCGTTCTGAGCTAGGACTTCTATCATCCAGCAGCAGCATTTAGAGCATGGTAACCCCTTCCTCAGGATACAGTCCACTGGCTGGTTTCACTAGAATGACAGTCGCTCAGGAATGCATCTGCGATGAACATTCTCTCCCCATTGAGTCTTCAGTGGAGGCACATAGAGTCTCCCTGTGGACAGTAGTGTCCATAACTGGCCTGTGCCTGTGAGCACTTTTGTAATAGCCTCCTCCCAGCTGATCCGTTTCTCTAGGTGAGAAGATGAGGATGCTTCCCACCCCGCCTCAGACCCCTGCTGGCTACTGACTAGAGGTTTTGCATCTGAAGCTCCATCAGTCTAGGTGCCCTTGTACCATCTTTGATGTCATCATCATCCCAAAGCCCTGACTTTCAAAGGACCCTGGAAGGTGATGACACTTCCCGCCGAAGAATATATTAATATATTTGGCAATGAATAAAACAGTAGGAGAATATTTAAAATTGTATTTTTAATTTTTCTGACACTAAATTTAGACAACAACAACAAAAAAAGCAGGCAACCAAATGCTGTCTTTATATCCCTTCCAGTTTTCTTCTTATCTTTGTCAAGATAAATGCCCACACTTTCAATAGTTAGGGGTTGGGTATTACACTTAATGTTATTTAATAGACATGATCTGGTTCAGGCTCATCTGTGAACATTTTCTCTTCCATCTACAACTCGCTTTTGTCATGATCCCATGTCATGACATGGTTTTATCTTCTCATTGCTGGTTTTATTTTTCAGGTCTTCTGGGGTCATCTAATTGATGAATCCAATGATTTTAGGTGGCTAATGGGTTGGCCAAAAAGTTCTTTTGGGTTTTCCATACATCTCAAGGGGAAAATCAAACTTTCTGGGCAACCCAATATGTTTCTTTCCACAGCGCCCCTCCCCCCCCACCCAAATATTTATCTACAGCCAAGAGCATCTTCTTGAACTTCAGACCCAGGTAGTCGGTTACCTGATAGTCTCTTGAATATCCTGCAGGCTCCTCAAATATATACAACATTCATAGACCTAATCTCTGCTCCTCCTCTGGAGTCTTTTATGTCTGTATTTCCACTGCCAGCAAACACTGTCCCCTCAGTTGTCTGAGCCACACACTCAAGAGCTGACCTGAACCCCTCCCTTCCCCTCGCCTCCATTCAATCAATCACAAAGCCCCACTGATTCATCTCCTATTAGGGTACCTCCAACTGTAGTGTGTTTGTGCTTAGTCACCCAGTTGTGTCTTGTTCTTTGCAACCCCATGGACTGTGGCCCACTAGGGTCCTCTGTCCATGGAATTTTCCAGGCAAGATTACTGGAATGGGTTGCCATTTCCTACTCCAGGGTATCTTCCTGACCCAGGGATTGAACCTGCATCTCCTGTATCAGCAGGCAGATTCTTTACCACTGAGCCACTATGGAAGCCCTGGTGCAGTGTCTAACAGCAAATCCTATTGCCTTTACCTCCAAAATATGTGCCAAATCCATCAAACAGAAAAAAAAATTTTTCTTCTTATCATTTCACTACTAAAATCCTTTTCAGTGCCACATATCCTGTTACCCGGTCTGCTACAGTGGCTTCTTACTGGCCTTCTTACAATTGCTTCTTCAGAAAGATCATCCCAGATCACGCAAGTCACTTCTTTTTCTCATAGCTCTTTCCACTTTCTGAAATATTCTTGTTGTTTTAAAAATAAACTTCCTTGGTGATGAAATAGTTACCCTGTAAGTAGCCCCGCAAAGGGTCTTTTAAAATATTATCTTCTCTCCATCTCTGTAAGGTGGAACGGAATTATCATCTATTCTTCATCTTCCACTGGGAAAATAATGCTCACGATAACACTCGGAATTGTTTTAATTCCCAACTCATGAGGGTGGCTGCCATGTTCTTTGTTGATATAATCTCAAGATAAATTTTTCAGGACAGAAAGCAGTATTGAGAAATATTTATACTACGTTACCATTTTAAGCAAGGAACAAAACATACCCTCATTAGCTTGTGTACATTTAGAACAGCTTCAGAAGGATGGAAGAAACTGGTGATACTGGTTTCTTCTGAGAAGAGGTACTGGATGGAAGGAAGCTGAGAGAAAAGAGCAATCCATTCACAGTGCTCTCCTCTGCACCTTGAGTTACGAGCCAGTGGCTATATTTTTTATTCAAGAAAAGAAAGTTTATGTCTTGGGCCCGAGGTGTTTTTAAACTTTGATGGCATTGCTGTCCCCTGTCTTGCCGAGCCTCCCACCTGTAGACAAGAAAATGGGGTCATGGAGAAGTGAAGTGGGGTCATGGAGAAGTGAATAGCTTCTCCAGCTCATCCAGGCCTGGAGGTGGGGCGGCTCCTCAGTCAACGACTCTGCCCCGTCTCACCCTCTTACAACGCAGGACGGGGCGCTCCTGGAGTAGGGGTGTGGAGTGCATTCAGTCAGTTCAGTTCAGTCGCTCAGTTGTGTCTGACTCTTTGTGACCCCACGGACTGCAGCGCACCAGGCCTCCCTGTCCATCACTCCATGGCATGTGGAATCTTCCTGGACCAGGGATCGAACCTGTGTCCCCTGCATTGGCAGGCGGATTCTCATCCACTGTGCCACCAGGGAAGTCCAATGACTGTTTTATAAGAAGAGTTATTTGGTTTTATAAAAGCATAATTGTGTTTTCCCCCTTCCTGTTTAGGCTAATCATAAAGACTGAATTCTTGCCTACAAAATATCGAGGCTACATGCTCCCCTTGTCTCAGGTGAGTTAAGACAAATTCTACCGAGTCTTTGGATCCTGTACAGTATGGTGTAGATGGTTTTTCTCCTGGTCAGTTAATGGTCCTTTGATCAGCACACTCCTGTTACTTGGTACCAGCCAAAGAGCATTAGGGATGCTTGACCATAGAAGTCAATTCCAAGGCGTTCTGAGCTAGGACTTCTATCATCCAGCAGCAGCATTTAGAGCATGGTAACCCCTTCCTCAGGATACAGTCCACTGGCTGGTTTCACTAGAATGACAGTCGCTCAGGAATGCATCTGCGATGAACATTCTCTCCCCATTGAGTCTTCAGTGGAGGCACATAGAGTCTCCCTGTGGACAGTAGTGTCCATAACTGGCCTGTGCCTGTGAGCACTTTTGTAATAGCCTCCTCCCAGCTGAGCCATTTCTCTAGGTGAGAAGATGAGGATGCTTCCCACCCCGCCTCAGACCCCTGCTGGCTACTGACTAGAGGTTTTGCATCTGAAGCTCCATCAGTCTAGGTGCCCTTGTACCATCTTTGATGTCATCATCATCCCAAAGCCCTGACTTTCAAAGGACCCTGGAAGGTGATGACACTTCCCGCCGAAGAATATATTAATATATTTGGCAATGAATAAAACAGTAGGAGAATATTTAAAATTGTATTTTTAATTTTTCTGACACTAAATTTAGACAACAACAACAAAAAAAACAGGCAACCAAATGCTGTCTTTATATCCCTCCCAGTTTTCTTCTTATCTTTGTCAAGATAAATGCCCACACTTTCAATAGTTAGGGGTTGGGTATTACACTTAATGTTATTTAATAGACATGATCTGATTCAGGCTCATCTGTGAACATTTTCTCTTCCATCTACAACTCGCTTTTGTCATGATCCCATGTCATGACATGGTTTTATCTTCTCATTGCTGGTTTTATTTTTCAGGTCTTCTGGGGTCATCTAATTGATGAATCCAATGATTTTAGGTGGCTAATGGGTTGGCCAAAAAGTTCTTTTGGGTTTTCCATACATCTCAAGGGGAAAACCAAACTTTCCGGGCAACCCAATATGTTTCTTTCCACAGCGCCCCTCCCCCCCCACCCAAATATTTATCTACAGCCAAGAGCATCTTCTTGAACTTCAGACCCAGGTAGTCAGTTACCTGATAGTCTCTTGAATATCCTGCAGGCTCCTCAAATATATACAACATTCATAGACCTAATCTCTGCTCCTCCTCTGGAGTCTTTTATGTCTGTATTTCCACTGCCAGCAAACACTGTCCCCTCAGTTGTCTGAGCCACACACTCAAGAGCTGACCTGAACCCCTCCCTTCCCCTCGCCTCCATTCAATCAATCACAAAGCCCCACTGATTCATCTCCTATTAGGGTACCTCCAACTGTAGTGTGTTTGTGCTTAGTAACCCAGTTGTGTCTTACTCTTTGCAACCCCATGGACTGTAGCCTGCCAAGCTCCTCTGCTCATGGGATTTTCTAGGCAAGAATACTGGAGTGGGTTGCCATTTCCTCCTCCAGGGGATCTTCCCAACCCAAGGATCGAACCCACATCTCCTGCACTGGTAGGTGAATTCTTTACTGCAAAGCCACCAGGGAAGCCAGTATTAATTTCAGGGAGACAGAAACATTCTGACCAAATTACCCTGCCATAGGGCCCCTAGGTTAGACCAACTGGCTTCAAGATAAGCTTCTCTACTATGGAAATAAATGAAGAACAACCTGATGAGAAAAGCAAAGGCTATTTATTTTGAGCTTGCTATATATGAAGGGAGTCAGCCACCATCACTTGCATTTTGGCAGACTCAAAGGCAGGCAGAGGAGTAAGAAAGCTTTATAGTGGGAAAAAGAAAAGGCAGGAAACGTGTGCCTGTTGGTGTGGGGAAGCTGTAGNTGTCCATTGAGTCAGTGATGCCATCCAACCATCTCATCCTCTCTCATCCCCTCTCCTCCTGCCCTCAATCTTTCCCAGCATCAGGGTCTTTTCCAATGAGTCAGTTCTTCGCATCAGGTGGCCAAAGTATTGGAGTTTCAGCATCAGTCCTTCTAGTGAATATTCAGGACTGATCTCCTTTAGGATGGACTGGTTGGCTCTCCTTGCTGTCCAAGGGACTCTTAAGAGTCTTCTCCAACACCATAGTTCAAAAGCATCTATTCTTTGGCGCTCAGGTTTCTTTATAGTCCAACTCTTACATCCACATGTGACTATCGGAAAATAGGAGGGCTTTAACCTTCCTTCTCTCCCCCAGGTTTTCTGGTTGGCCGGCTCCCTGCTCATCATTGGCCTGGCCTCTGTGGTCGTCCCCACCATCGGGTGGCGCTGGCTTATCCGCATTGCCTCCATCCCTGGCATCATCCTCATCATGGCCTTCAAGGTGACCAAGCTCATGGGCTCCCTCTTGACCTCCCCTCTGCTTGGCAATGTGGCCTTCTTGGCCCACAGATATCTTTCTCATGTCCAGGACCTTTCTCCTTTATTTAAGTATCTGTCTCCGTCAGTTTACATGAAAAGGGTATTTTGGCAGATTTAATGCACAAGCCATCATGAAGCTGTAAATGCAGGATATGTTTGGGGGAGAGCAGGCAGGCAGGGAATTCTAGAGTTAGGGGTGCTGGGGGGAGGCCGGCTGGAAAGACAGGCCTGTGTCCAGGTTACAAATAGCCTGGAGGACCAGGGGCCCTGGCTGTGTGGAAGGGGTGGTGTGCTGGGGAACAGGTACATGGGTATGTGGAGGCTGGGTGGGAGGGAAGATGGAAAAGGTCAGAAAAGCAGTTAGATTCGATTAATCAGATTAATCCTGGTGGGTGATGAGGATGACCTGAACTGCCCTCTGGCTGGGGAATGGGGAAGAGGATACTGCTGGGGGAGATGCTTTGCTGAGGAAGAACCCACTGGTCTTCACTGGGGGAGGCATCAAGGGCAGGGGGCCCTTCCAGTTGATTCTCAAGGTCCTCATGTCAGTGGAAGGATGTGCTGTTTTCTGAGTGTGGTGTTCAGAGTATGCCACCATCAGTGGGTCGAAGGCCTCTACATTCAGGATGGTTCCTCCACCTGTGGTTCCTGCACTGTGAGAGTTCTGGGGTTCCTGGGGAGGGCCTGGGTGATGGAGCAGCAGAAAGGCACCAGGGAGCCCTGGGCAGCAGCTCCAGATTGAGCGTAAGAGTTTCATTGTATTAAGTAGGTTGGGCCAAACTGCGTGAAGCTCGGCATCCATCCACTGTCATCCTAGATAGGACTATGAGAAGGAGAAGGCGACTTTTTGTTCTACCATGACTGCGCTGGTATCCCTGCCGCATTGTTGCCGTGAAGCTTGCTATACACCCTTCCCCATCTCCGGAAACTGGGATGGTGCAGTATATGGAACTGTGATAGCCGGATCTCTGGGGTCCACAGCAGCTGCAGCTCTGATGTTCTTTGTCACCTATGCCCAGTTTATTCCTGAGTCTGCTCGGTTCAATGTCTCCACTGGGAACACTCCGGCTGCCCTGGCTACGCTGGAACGCATTGCCAAGATGAACCGCTCAGTCATGCCAGAGGGGAAGCTGGTGGAGCCCATCCTGGTGAGTTCCTCTCCAATCAGGGGTCGCCAGAAATCCCCTTAGTGGTGGAAGGTGAGAGGGAAGGCGACCTGAGCCCTCCAAGGGCAGGATTAGGAAAAGAATGGAGGAAATTGAGACTAAATCCAGCTCCACCTTAAGCCTGGTGGAGCCAAGTTATGCAACTTCACTTTCTTTTTCCAAATTTTATTGAAGTATAGTTGATTTTACAATGTTGTGTTTAATTTCTGCTGTATAGCAAAGTGACTCAGTTATACATATATATTTTGTTCATAATTCCTTTCCATTTATGGTTTATCATAGGATATTGAATACAATTCCATGTGCTATACAGATAAAATAGTCCACATCTGCTAATCCAGGATTCCCAATCCTCCTTGCCCCTCTACCCCTCAACAACCACAAGTCTGTTCTTTATACTTGTGAGTCTGTTTTTGTTTCATAGATAAGTTCATTTATGTCATATTTTAGATTCCACATATAAGTGATATGATATTTGTCTTTGACTTACTTCACTTAGCATGATAATCTCGAGGTCCATCCATGCTCCTGCAAACAATGTTATTACTTTCTTTTTAATGGCTGAGTAGTAATCCACTGTGTTGTGTATATGTATACACACACACACACACATATATTATATATATACACCATATCTTCTTTATCTATCAATGGACATTTAGGCTGTTTCCAGGTCTTGGCAATTGTAAATAGTGTTGCAATAGGTGCATGTATCTTTTTGGTTTATAGTTTTGTCTGGATATATGCCCAGGAATGGATTGCTGGATCATATGGTAATTCTATTTTTAAAGGACTTTAAGGATTCTCCATACTAATTTCCTTANCAGGTGGCTCAGCGGTAAAGAATCTGCCTGCCAATGCAGGAGACTCAAGAGATGTGGGTTTGATCCCTGGGTCAGGAAGATCACCTGGAGAAGGCAATGGCAACCCACTCCAGTATTCTTTCCTCGAGAATCCCATGAACAGAAGACCCTAGTGGGCTATGGTCCATAGCGTCGCAAAGAGTTGGACACGACTGAAGCAACTTAGCAGGCATGTTCTAAATATTAGGTTTGTTCAAATATATATGGGATTTATTATATACTAGAACATTAATTGTTGGTCTCATATAACAATTATAGTATTTTATAATAAGTTTTCATACTTATAAAGTATGTACTCATTATCAAAGTTCTTTTTCAGAATTTTCCACACTATTTTCTCAGGCTTATTTTTTACTGTTGTTGCTATTGTTGTTCAGTCACTAAGTTGTGTCCGACTCTTTGTGACCCCATGTATTGCTGCACACCAGGCTCCCCTGTCCTTCACTGTCTCCTGTAGTTTGCTCAAATTCATGTTCATTGAGTCAGGGATGCTATCTAACTATCTCATCCTCTTCAGCCTCCTTCTCCTTTTGCCTTCAATCTTTCCCAGCATCAGGGTCTTTTCCAATGAGTCAGTTCTTCACATCAGGTGCCCAAAATATTGGAGCTTCAGCATCAGTCCTTCCAATGACTATTCAGGGTTGATTACCTTTACAATTGACTGGTTTGATCTTGCAGTCCAAGGGACTCTCAAGAGTCTTCTCCAGTACCACATTTTGAAAACATCAATTATTTGGCATTCAGGCTTCTTTATGGTCCAATTCTCTACCATACTTGACTACTGGAAAACCATAGCTTTGACAGCACAGACCTTTGTTGGCAAAGTAATGTCTCTGCTTTTTGATATGCTGTCTAGGTTTGTCATAGCTTTCCTTCCAAGGAACAAGCATCTTTTAATTTCATGGCTGCAGTCATCATCTGCAGTGATTTGGGAGCCCAAGAAAATAAAACCTGTCACTGCTTTCACTTTTTCGTGTTCTGTTTGCTGTGAAGTGATAGGACCAGATGCCACGATCTTATTTTTTTGAATATTGAGTTTTAAGTCATCTTTTTCACTTTCCTCTTTCACCTTCATCAAGAGGGTCTTTAGTTCCTCTTCACTTTCTTCCATGAGAGTGGTATCATCTGCATATCTGAGGTTGTTGATATATCTCCTGGCAGTCTTGATTCAAGTTTGTGATTTAACCAGCTCAATATTTCACATGATGTTCTGTGTATATAAATTAAATAAGCTGGGTGACAATATACTGCCTCGATGTATTCCTTCCCCAATTCTGAACCAGTCAGTTGTTCCATGTCTGGTTCTTAACTATTGCTTCTTGACTCGCATATAGGTTTCTCAGGAGACAGATAAGCTGGTCTGGTATTCAATTCTTTTGAAGAATTTTCTACAGTTTTTTGTGATCCACACAGTAAAAGACTTTAATGTAGTCAATGAAGTATGCTGTAATTAGTAATATAATGTAGTAATGTAGTCTGTAGTAAGTAATTAGTAAGTAATGTAGTCTGCTTTAATGAAGCAGAAGTAGATGTTTTTCTGGAATTCCCTGCTTTCTTTATGATCCAACAAATGTTGGCAATTTGAACTCTGCCTTTCTAAACCCAGCATGTACATCTGGGATTTCTCAGTTCATATACTGCTGAAACCAAGCACGAAGGATTTTGAACATAACCTTGCTAGCATGTGAAATGAGCACAGCTGTACAGTAATTTGAACATTCTTTGGCATTGCCTGTTTTTGGAATTGGAATGAAAACTGACCTTTTTCAGTTCTGTGGCCACTGCTAAGTTTTCCAAATTTGCTGACATATTGAGTGCAGCACTTTCACAGCATCATCTTTTAGGATTTTAAATAGCTCAGCTGATATTCCATCACCTCCACTAGCTTTGTTTATAGTGATGCTTCCTAAGGCCTACTTGGCTGTACACTCTAGGGTATTTGATTCTAGGTGAGTGGCCACATCATTGTGGTTATCCGAGTCATTAAGATCTTTTCTGTATAGTTCTTTGTATTCTTGCCACCTTTTCTTAATCTCTTCTGCTTCTGTTATGTCCTTACCATTCCTGGCCTTTATCATGCCCATCCTTGCATGAAATACTCCCTTGATATCTCCAGTTTTCTTGAAGAGATGTCTAGTCTTTCCCATTCTGTTGTCTCCCTCTATTTCTTTGCATTGTTTGTTGAAGTAGGCTTTCTTCTGTCTCCTTCCTGTTTTCTGGAACTCTGCATTCAGTTGGGTGTATCTTCCCCTTCCTCCCTTGCACTTCACTTCTCTTCTTTTCTCAGCTATGTGTAAAGCCACCTCAGACAACCACTTTGCCTTCTTGCATTTCTTTTTCTTTGGGATGGTTAAGTGCCTCCTGTAAGTGTTACAAGCCTCCATCCATAGTTCTTCAGGAACTGTCTACCAGATCAAATCCCTTGAATCTATTCATCCCCTCCACTGTATAATCATAAGGGATTTGCTTTAGGTCATATCTGAAAGGCCTTGCAGTTTTCTGTACTTTTTTTAATTTAAGCCTGAATTTTGCAATAAGGAGTTCATGATCTGAGCCATAGTCAGCTCCTGGTCTTGTCTTTGCTGACTGTATAAAGCTTTTCCATCATCAGCTGCAAAGAATATCATCAATCTGATTTCAGTATTGGCTATTTGATGATGTCCATGTGTATAGTCGTCCCTTGTGTTTTTAGAAAAGGGTGTTTGCTGTGACATGTGTTTTCTTGACAAAACTCTGTTAGCCTTTGCCTTGCTTCATTTTGTACACCAAGGCCAAACTTACCTTACTCCAGGTATCTCTTGACTTCCTACTTTTGCATTCCAATCCCCTAAGGTGTTAATTTGGTTATTTTTTTGGTGTTAGGTCTGGAAGGTCTTGTAGGTCTTCATAGAACCGTTCAACTTTGGCTTCTTCTGCATTAGTGGTTGGGGCATAGACTTGGATTACTGTGATGTTGAATGGTTTGCCTTGGAAATGAACCAAGTGAACCAACCAAAATTGAATGATTTTTTTTTTTAGAAGAACTTTAAAGTGGAGTGGGAGTGAGATCTATTTAAGCCCCTGTTTTCATTTCCTTTGGATATATACCCAGAGGTGGGGTTGCTGAATCATATGGCAGTTCTGCTTTTAATCTTCTGAGGACTGTCCATATCACTTTCCACTTTCCACAGTGGCTACACCAGTCTATGGCAGAGCCTGATCTTGACCCAACTCTTCCTCCATGCCTCAGATGGGTCCAGGGCAGCAACAGCTCTCCCCACTCACCTCCCCACATCTTACTCCCTCAGGCATCATATGACCACAACAGGAAGGTGATGTCAAGGGTACCGGTCTTCTGTGTCCTGCACACAAGTCAGAGGTGGGCTTTTCTAGGGTGTTCCTGACTTCCCAGGACATCACTGATGACAAAAGCATTGTAATCCCACTGCCACCTGACCTGGTGCTGGATGTGTTGTGAGATAGAATGTGCTTGATAATAATGCAAAAATGAGAATTAAATGCCCCAAACTTCCTCACATTCAGTTTTTGTTTGGTAAGGTGTTCTCACTTTGCTTTGTGGAGTGTTTCCCCTAATTATTCCACATGCCTCAAAACCCACTTGTGAAACAGGAACCTTGAACTTTCTTCCAAAGAACTAAGGATGCTTCTGTTATTCTAATTTATTTTCTGGATTCTGGAAATAAAAGTTTGTGGTTCAGAGGTCAGGACCCTACTATTAGGCAGTATCAGCTCTCTCCTACCTTTCTACTAAGACACTAACAATTCCATTTTATCATGCAAAGCACAGTGGGAAGACTAGTTGCCAGGCAACAGGGATTAAATGAAAGAAGCTATTATGCTTTGTAGAAACTGGCACATAATGTCTAACTGGCTGTGAAATTTTGATTGTCAATAGCATAAAAAATAAAATTGGATTCAGAGAGAGAAAAAAATTTAGAGACAAAACCATGGACACTGAACGATCATAAGAGTCTGATTGTAGAGTTTTTTGATGTGGACCAGTTTTTTAAAGTCTTTATTGAATTTGTTGCAGTATTGCTTTTGTTTTGTGTTTTGTTTTTTTGGCCAAGAGGCCATGTGGCATGTTAGTTCTCCAACCAGGGATCAAACCTGCACCTTCTGCATTGAAAGGTGAAGTCTTACACTGGACCATCAGGGAAGTCTCTGATGTGTATTTTTTTTTTTTATCCAGTATTTGTTCCAGGACTGCGGAGCACTGAGGTGCACTTCTTTCCTCTTTCCCTTTTGCCTCCTCCCTCTTCCACCCCTCCTCCTTCCGTCTCCTATCCCACTGGGTATTAGTTCATTTGGGCTGCCATAATAAAACAGCATAGACTGGGTGTCTTAAACAACAAATATAATTTTCTCACAATTCTGGAGGCTAGATGTCCAACGTCAAGGTGCTGCAGAGCTGGTTTCTTCTGAGGCTCCTTTCCCTGGCTCTTAGATGTCCGTCTTCTCCCTGTGTCTTCTCGTCATTTTCCCAGTGTGTGTGTATTCTGATCTCTTTTTATAATGACATCGGTCATATTGGATTACAGTCCACCCTGATGACCTCATTTTAGCTCATTTAACTCTTTAAAGACCCCATCTCCGTTCTCAGTCATCTCTACAACCACCCCCTTCCCTCCTTCCTCTTACATCCTTCTCTTTCCTACCCCTTTCTTCTTTCTCCCCCTTTGTTTCTCTTGACTTCATCTTGCTGCCTCCATCCCTCAAGCCCATTAAATGATTCTTCTCCACGGTGGTCTATTGAGCAAGGCCTTGTGAATACAGAGCTGTAAGCGATGGACCCTGCCTTAAGTCTCCTAAATCTGGTTAGAGTGGTGAGACTCACACAGGAGAGTATCAATAGCATAACAGAACCCAGATGCCTGGAACCAGGTGAGTGGCCCAGGCAGCAGGGTGTGGAGGATCAGAGCAGAGAGGTGACCGTTAGCCAGGTTGGCAGAACCACCTGCGGAGAGGTGGGGACTGAGAGGAGAGACAGCCTTGGGGAGGAAAAAGGCCAGGCAGGAGGAATGGTGTGAGCTGAGACCAAAGGTAGGGATGAGCAGTGAATTCGGTCACATAGCTGCTTGTTAGGATGCTGTGTGGAGGAGGCCGGGCAAGATGCTGTGGGCGGTGGAGCCTCTGCAGCTTCACTCCCGAGATGCTTTGGGGTCTGTCTGAGGTCAGGCCATGCCGTGAAGGGGCTGAATAAGTCCACCCATTTGGGTTGTATGGCCAAAGGTTCAGAACCAAATGACTTACTAGGATAAAGTTTGTCTGTGTATATATAACTCAGCTTTCTGAATCTCCAGTGACACTTGGGGAGGTGAGGGGGCCATAGTTGTATCTAAACCCAAGGGACATGGCAGAGAGGCAGGTGGGAAAGAGAGAAAGACCCAGACTGGCTCTTGTCTCCAAACAGCTGTGTGATCTTGGGCAAGTCACTTACCCTCTCTTGGCCATATATTCTTTGTTGGAAAATATGAGGATAGGGCTGGATCAGAGGTTTTCCAAAGATGAGTGACCAGAGTCCTGAGATATAAAGCAGATGAAAGTGGAGTGTCAGTGGCTCGAGTCCACCCCCAGTGAAATCTAGGAGCCGAGACTGAAAGTTACAGGGCAAAGGACCTCTGAGTTCTCTGGAAGCTCTTCCTGTGATAACAAAATCCAGGACTCCCAGACCACACTTCTGGTCTCCCTGGTCGGGGGGCCAGGGGTGAGATGTTGTAATCCCAGGTGGATTTGTGAAAAAAGAGTAGTTGGTTTTCAGCAGAGCACCCTCCACCTGAAATATTCCTAGCTTTACATAAAAATCCATTACTGCCTAATCCTGTATAACTCAGCCTTATTTTGATCCAAACATACTTAATAGGCACTGGCTATGGACAAGAACTTTTACTAAAGACTCACAAAGAAATTGGACACTGTATCCTCTTTTCAAATTTAGGCCACTTGTTTTTTACACGAGACTCACACTTTTTAAATATTAGGGTTTCTTCATCTTAATGTTAAAAGAATCTCCATCAGTTTCATAGCTGTTTTTGTATCCTCCAATTTTCTGTACTCTAGTCTACCTCTCACCAATACTGGTGAGAAGGAGAAGGGTGAAAGGGTTAGAACCTTAAATTCAATGGGTCGTGCTTGGTACTTGCTAGTGATAATAAAAAGTATGCAAAGACTGATTGACTGAGACAAATGTGTTAAAGACAGTATTTATGGGTTTGGGTGAAGGATATTCAGGGAGCGGAGTGGCCATCTCTCTGCATGACATTTCCACATTGTTCTTGCTTTCTCTGATCTAAAATTTTAGAGTCACCTTTGCCCATACTTAACCTACTTAATCTGTCCTGTCTCTCCCTTTCACTACCCCAGGAAAAGAGAGGAAGATTTGCAGACCTGTTAGATGCTAAATATTTACGGACCACGTTACAGATCTGGGTCATATGGTAAGAATGGTATTATTTCAAAATTAGGTTTAGGGAGGTTCAAGAGGGAGGGGATATATGTATACTTATAGCTGATTCACATTGTTGTATAGCAGAGGCTGATACACCATTATAAATCAATTATACTCCAGTTAAAAAAAAGAAAACCTAGGTCCAAATAAACAAATATTTTCAGTGGGAGAGAGTCCACTGAAGTAAATTCCTCCTGAGTTTTCTAGGGAGAAAACACAAGGCAGATACCAGTAATGCCTTATCTTTTTGCTTAACACCACAGACCGAAAAATAGATATAAAATAACAGTATAAAAAGAGAGAAAAAAATCCGAATCATCTATAACCAGGTTTTAAAAAATTTTTCATTTGAGTTCTCTACTAACCTTTTGCAGCCTGTTCTCTTCCCTCATCACTTTCCTGGAACTGATCCTTGAGGTCACTGAGAGTCAAATTCAAAGGAATAGATTCAATGGTTCTCTCTGTGCAAAGATTTTCTAAACAGGATACAAAAAGTATTAACTCTAAAAGAAAAGATTGATGAGTTTGCCTACATTAAATTAAGAGCATGAAAAGTATGCCACCAACTGAGAAAAGAAATTTATAGTATATTATGTCCAACAAATTATATATACATGTTACATATATTATTAATATATGTTACTATTATATAACTTATTTCAACAAGAAAAGCATACCTGACCTGGTAGAGAAATAGGTCAGAGACTTGAACAGCCACTTGACGAAAAATATGTATCAAATAAATACATGAAAGCATGATCAACCTTAAAGTCTCCAGGGAAATACAAATTAAAACCAAATGAGAAACCATTGCAAATCCACCTGAATGGCTAAGTTAAAAAGACTGACTGTATCAAGCGTTGGGAAGGATGTGAAGTAACTAGAATTTTTATATACTGATGATTGGATTTCAAGTCAGCATGACCACTTTGAAAAACTGTTTAACGATTTCTACTGCAGTTGAAAGTATGCATAACCTATGGCTCAGCAGTTTCACTCCTAAATTTTTATTAAACAGAAGTGCCAAGTAAAATAAAATAGCATTATTTTATTTGTAACAGCTCCAAACTAAAAACAACCCACATGCCCATCAACAGTATAATGGATAAATTGTATTATATTCGTAACATAGAATACTATACAATAATAAAAATGAGAAAACTGGTGCTCTGCCCTCAACATGGCTCAATCTTACAAATGTAATAGTAAGCTAAGCAAGTCAGACACAGAATACATAATACACGCTTCCAGTTATAGAAAGATTCAGAACAGTAGAAACTTAACGATAGTGTTTGAACTCAGGAAATTGGCTGTCTCTCTGCCTTTCCCAGATATAATCACTAAAAGTGCGTTGATGTTTCTCCTTTTGAGACTTTTTAATTTTTAAAATACTCTCAGTATTTGGAAATTAAGCAAAATTTAAAGTTACCTTAATAGCAAGGTGATTATTGTCTTCTTTTTAAATATTTCATGATGAGAATTTCCAAGCTCACATGAAAGCAGAGAGAATCCCACGATGAAGTCTGATTTACTTGCCACTCAGATCTGAGAATCACAGATATTTACCCATATTTGCTTTGGCTGTTTTTCCTGTTCTGAAGTATTTCCAAGTAGGCCCAACGCTTCATGCCATTTCATTCCCAGGTACTTCATTAAGAGTCTCAACTACTTGAGGACCTTTTCTTAGAGGATTCCAACCCTATAAACACACCAACAAGGTTAGCAATTGTGGGAATCACCTAGTGCTTCATTGGCTAAGACCCTGTACTCCTAATGCAGGAGGCCTGGGTTTGATCCCTGGTCAGGGAACTAGATTCCACGTGTTGCAATTAAAGAGCCACAACTAAAGATATTATTTGCCACAACTAAGATCCGGTGCAGTCAAATAAATAAAATTAAACATGAAAAAATATTAACAATCATCACTAGTATCATGCAGTGTGCAGAATATATGTAATTTCCCCTAATTGTCCCCATATGTCTTTTACATGTGGCTTTAATAACCATTTCCGTAAAACAGGCATGAGGGGGGCTTCTGGGAGGCTGACTTTATTCTTTTTCTTCACTTTGATATATGAACTTTTCTGTATGTTATGTTTATATTTAAATAAAATAAAATTTTATTTTATTTTATTTAAATATAAAACATATTTATTTTAAATATATAAAAATATTTAAGAATAGACCAAAAAAAAAAAAAGAGAGAGAGAGAGAGAGCCAGAGGAAGGAAATATAAAGCAAAAGCAAAAACCTTGCATGGCTTCCTGACCTCCGAAAGGCAGAATTCTAAAGATGACCCCGGAGATTTCCAACACCTGGTGATTCCATCAAACACTCACTCGACTGTGGATGGGAAGGCAGAGCATAGATGTAATAAGTATGGTTATCCGACCTAAAACAGGGAGCATAGCCTGGATTAGCCAGGTGGACGCAATCTAATCTCCCGAGTCTTTAAAAGTAGAGACGTCTCTCCAGCTGGAATCAGAGCTGCAGCCGAGGAGAAGGGTGGGGTAAGACAGGAGCACGGGGCGGACGCGACTGCTGTTGCTGGCTCCGCAAACAGCAACAAGGGCGCCTGCAGAAGCGGAAGAGCCCTGGTCAGCAGCCAGCAAGGACGTGGACGTGCGTCCTACAGCCTGTGCAGCTGGGTTCTGCCAACCGTCTGGATGAGCTTGAAGATGGATTCTCCCATAAATAGTGGAGCAGCCCCGCCTACACTGGCGTTTCTGCCTCCTGAGACACCGAACCGAGAAGTCAACCAGACCCACTGAAGTGCTGACTTCCAGGACTGTGAGATAACTGTGAACTGTTTAAAGCACCAAGTTTGTGCTCACATGTTGGAGCAGCTGCAGAAAAGGAAACTGTTACCCAGTCTAAGCTTGTGCTGCTTGCTGCATGACAGGCAAGTAGAAGACAAGGTGTTGAGGCAACTTATAGTGACTTTATCCAGAATGCCAGCAGACTGAGAAGATGGTGGACTAAAGTTTTAAAGAACCATCTTAACCTAGAGTAGCCTTCAGGCTGCTCTTTAGCTGAGGGAAAGAAGATGGTGGGAGGGTTCGAGATGAAAGGGTCAGGATGAGTTGCAGACTTCTTGGAGCCACTGGCCTTCAAGGGAAGCTTAGCCTTTCTTTGTTCTGTTTGCTCACAAGGCTGGATTACAAGGTTTCTGCAAAATTTCAAATCTGTATTGGTTATTTTTATTCTACTGCCCTTATCTCTGCTTATTTGCAAGGTTTCTAGGCTGAAAACGAACTTACCTACAAGTAGTAGGTATAACTAACCCGGGACCGCCTGGGATGGGAACTTAATAAGCTGTTTGGGCACAAGCAACAGTGCTCTGATAGCTAACTCTGTGTATTCAGGGCTAAAGTAACAGAGTACATGAGCTGAAGAATGAGGGGGGCAGTTTCAATGTGGTGTTAGTTCTGTTCTGACTCGGTGACAAAACTCTCTCCTGGCCTGAGGGGTCCTCTGAGCCCTTTCTGCTTTTTCTTGCAAATCCATTTCTCACCGTGCAGTCTCTGGTGAAGGCCACCCTCCAGTCTCCCCCTGAAATGTGACCCCACTTTCCCCTCCTCTTCTTTCCCCTTCCACACACCGTGCTTTCCACCTGGAAAGCTCTCCCTGCCTCTCCCCACCTCTCATGGGGCTACCCCTTCTTCAGGCCTGGAGACAGACTTTCCTGATGTCCATCTTTTCTTGCTTCCAGGCTGGGCATCTCTTTCGCCTACTATGGGGTCATCCTGGCCAGTGCCGAGCTGCTGGAGCGGGACCTAGTCTGTGGCTCGCGGTCCGAGTCCGAGGTGGCCGTGACTGTGGGGGTCTTGGAGGAGAGCCAGAGCCCCTGTTACTGCCACATGTTCGCCCCCTCCGACTACAGGACCATGATTATCAGCACCATTGGCGAAATTGCTCGTAAATGACTCTCTCTGTTGGGTGGCTCTCTGTTTTGGGTGGGGGACAGGCAACTCAGAGCCTCACAGAGAAGAGTGGCCTGTCATACACTTGGCTCCTGCCTGGTAGGACTAGACGAGTCCCCAAATCATGCTGACATGTCTCCAGTGTGGATGCAAGTGGGGAGGGAGGACAAGTCTGGAGACATGAAGCTTTAAATTTATCAAATCAATTCTAAGATGCATTTCCCCACATTGTAATATCTCTGCAACTGGGATGTGTCTTGCAGTGACTTGTTAGGTTTCCCTTTGGAAGCACTGTTTCTGCTTTAATAGGCATAAAATAATGGTACTTAATCATTGGCACCTTGGATTTCCCTGGTGGTCTAGTGGTTAAGACAGCAGGGGCTGTGGGTTTGATTCCTGGTTGGGGAAGTTCCACAGGCTGCATTAGATACCCCCCCCCCAAAATTCATGGCATCTTGAATTTGAAAAACAGCATAAAATATTTAAAATATAGATCGAACAAGTGGGCAGTTTACAATAGACATATATGCAGTAATACACATCCTGGACATAAAACATACGTTGCATACACCAATACGTGTTTTTCTCAGACCCACACGGGAAAAGGATGTGAAAAGAGCATGATGTTGATGACAGTGTGACTCTTCTTGGCTGCAATACCCATGAGGTTTGAATTAAGTTGTTTCTTTATGAAATGACGAGGAGGAAACCATGCCAGTGTGGTAAATGCCATTTGCTGTCAAAGTTCTGAAAATTGTCTTTGTTTTTTTTTTCCAGTGAATCCTTTAAACATCCTGGGCATTAATTTCCTGGGGAGACGGCTGAGCCTTTCTATTACCATGGGATGTACAGCTTTATTCTTCCTGCTCCTCAATATTTGCACCTCAAGGTATTTGCTCTCTGGCTGCTTTGGAACAATCTAGTTTTGAGCGGTGGTTTTAAAATGAGGTCTCTTGGGGACTTCTCTGGTGGTCCAGTGGTTAAGACTCTGTGCTTCCACTGCAGAGAGTGCAGGTTTGATCCCTGGTTGGAGAACTAAGATCCCATATGCCCCGTAGCCAGAAAACAAAAGTGTAAAATAAATAAAATGAGGTCTCCTGACCCATGGCCTTCAATGCGGGTCAGGAACAAGTCCCTTTCCCTAGGAAAGTAGAGTACGAGCTGCCTCTGCCCTCCTACTCCTTTTTTCCCTGTGAACAGGACTAGCCTGGGGCTATTCAGTTTGCTCACCAAGATATTTAGGATCTTTTTACAAAGTTTCCTGGAGAATGGGGAACTTGGTTGCTGACCAAATGAGCTGCACCGTTGTCAAGACAGTGATGTAGACAGCATACCTGTGGTGGGAAAATTCATTGCACTCTGAATTTGTGACTCTAGGGTGGCCTCATTCATAATCTGTATGACTTATTCTGCACACTGTACCGTTTTCCAGGAGTGGTCACAGAGGTGTGCCCGTCTGGGGTGGGGGGCAGGCTGGAACGGCACACTCTGGGGGAACAGGATTGAAGGTCTGGGTCAGGTTTTGCTTTCGGACCCCACGGTCAGGCCAGCTGATGAGCAGTACCCCGGGGTCCTGGCCTCCGTGGGTGTGTGTGTTGGCCGCTCAATGCACCGGGATGGGGGCCCCGGAAGGTCTTCCCGTGCTGCCTCTGATGTCTCCCTTCGGTTCCCTAGTGCCGGCCTCATCGGCTTCCTCTTCATGCTGAGGGCTCTGGTGGCAGCCAACTTCAACACCATCTACATTTACACCGCTGAGGTTAGTTTTGGAGAAGGGGTTGCTTACATCAAGGTGTTTGTCTGTAGATAACGCATCCCTGGCTTCTGCTGACTTTTGATGAGTTTCTAAAAACATCCTATTAAAAAGACATCAGAAAGTGTATTTGATGTGGTCTTTCTCCTGCCCCGTGGGGTCTAGTGAAAGCCAGTCTCTGAGAAGAAAGATAGGACCTTTTCCCTTTCTCACTAAGTCACATTCACATTAAAAAAAAAAAAAAACAAAAAACACCTCATTGCCCGCTTACCCTGCTTCCTGAAGAAATAGGGCCCATATCTGCATGTTGCTGATAAAATGTAAAGCACCCTCTTTCTCTCTCTTTTTGAAATTAGAATGTACTTTTCAACTTTTTTCTTTTGAAAGATCACATCCCACCCTGTTGTTTTTTGTGTGTGGCTTAAATTCAAATATAAGAGTAATTTATCTTTAGTTTATTGAATTATTCCATATACTTAATACATCTACTTCTGAGGGGGCTCCTCAGAAAGCCCCAGTTTAAAGAGCAAACATTCCTAGAAATAAGCAATGTCTGAATAGGAAACAGTATTTTAACTGGCTTTGTCTTTCATTGAGCTAAAGAAAGTGGTACTGTAGGGACTGCTAAGGCTGCATTCATTTTCATATCAAGAAAGGTAAAAGTCTGTTCAAAATACTGATATTATATATCAAAATCATTAAAGCCACAGGAAAAAAATATTCTTTTCCTCTCATGCAGATTAAAAATAGGAAATTATAACATATTTGACATATATCAGTACATATATTTCGTTTAGTTCCATTGACAAAATCTTCTAAAATTATTGTGAATTTGTAAACTTAAAGGTCTATATGTATTGTGGTGTACCTCTAAAATTATATTTGGAATATTCAATTTAACATTTTGGAATGTGTTCATTTAAAGGGTTGTTTCTAAGTATTTTCCCCCTGATACTTATGGCTTAAAAAAAAATCAAAGATGTGTACCAGAACATGATTGTCTTGAATTATTTCATCTCCTAGAATTGTCAAAACACAAAAATATTGATATTAGAGCAAAGATCATCTCTATGTATCTGAATCCATTGTTTTCAATAGCCAGTAACCTCATTTTCCACAAAAAAAGAACTCCAGGAAAAGGCACTCAACCCCTAGGTCATCTTTTATAAATACAGCGGTTTCCCCTGGGGCAGGATAGCATCTTGTTGCATCTGACAGATGGTGTGTAGAGGGGTCACATGCTTTACTTCAGTGAATTGATAAAAACTGATCAGTACTACATAGCATTCAGAGAAAATTCTCCAAAATTAAGAAGCATTCTTTCATATATTCTCCCTACATATTCTTCCTATAATCTTCTTTATTAAATATTTGCCTGTCAAGGATTCTGTATCAATAAAGTACAGATTTTTGGTGGTGGTTTAGTCAATAAGTCATGTCCAAGGGTTGCAACCCCATGGACTGTAGCCTGCCAGGCTTCTCTGTCAATGGAATTTTCCAGACAAGAATACTGGAGTGCGTTGCCATTTCCTTCTCCAGGGGATCTTCCTGACCCAGGGTTTGAACATGGGTCTCCTGCATTGCAAGTTAATGAGGTCTTGCTATAAATGAAACAAAGCAGACTGTGCCATATGGTTTTGCAATGCAAACACGGTGGATGATGTAGTTTGTATCTGACACTTCAGTCAATTCACTGTATCTATATTAAAGATTTGCTTGGATTGTTATTATTTGGGGTATATTTTCTTTCCATTCAGTAGAACCACCTTTATATGTTTATAGCTCTAAGGTGGAACTCTATCTGATTCCAAAGTTTAGTTTTCTAAAATCAGTTTTGGAATATTAAACACATATTTTGGAATTTTCTCACTGAAAGGATGATTTCTAAATGTTTATTATCTGATAGTGTTAAAATTCAAAGTTGTATACCTGAGAAAATGAACATCTTCTATTCTTATCCTATCTATATAGACTATTTGGCCTTTTATATATTATCAAAGCCTGACCCGGGGAGGGAAGAACAGAAGACTTGGGAAAGGAGGATTCTAAACTGATGCTTTCTACACTGCCCCCACGCAGGTCTACCCCACGATGATGCGTGCTTTGGGGATGGGGACCAGCGGCTCCCTGTGTCGCATTGGAGCAATGGTGGCACCATTTATATCCCAGGTACAGCCCAGCGGTCTCTATAGAAGGATGGATATGTCTAAGGGAGGTGGGGAAACAGTGGCCTGGGTCCCTTCAGGTTAAGGGTTTAACCAAAGATTTGTCTACTTGAGTTTCCTTGAGGTGCTGTTTTCTCATTGGTGAATTTGGTGGGAAAAGATGCTAAATCAATGCTTCCAGTCAACAGCATGTATTGCATCATATGAAGGGTTTGGATTTTGCTCGACATTGTTAGCGGAAGATCCCAAAGACACGGATGACCCAGGGAGCTGGAGCCATTGAGTGACAGTGGGCTCCAACTCTGCTGTCAAGGGTGCAGTTGAAAAACAGAACACAAGCATGCTGGGAGGCTGAACCAGGGTGCGGCGAGGTGGCCCTGGGAAGGGGAAGTCTGGCACTCAGGCAAACCAGTTGCAGGCTGGGAGAAAATCCAGAGGTGGTCGGGACCATGATGGGGGTCCTTGTGTCAGGAGGGAATCAGGTAGATATGGTAACCCACATGGTCGTGGTTCCTCAGAGGGACCAAACAGCTTGCCCCTCGGCACTGGTCGTTCTGTTTGGCCACAAGAAGTGGAAATCAGCCTGACCTGGCTGCAGCCAAAAACAAGAGTGGGGTTGGGCCTTGGGTGGGCCTGATCCAGGCCGTGAGCCTTGTTGGGGACCCAGGCTCTGCATCCTCACATTTGTCTAGGGCCTGTGGTCACTGAGCGTTCAGACTGTGCGCCCTCAAGACCAGTGTGCTGTGCTTGCCCATGGACCTTGCCGCCTTACAAATCCCAAACATCTCTCCTTAGATCCAGCTACCAGAAGATACCAATGTGCTCTCTAAATCCCAGAAAGATGCTCTCCCTGCATCCCACTGGCCAGGCCTGGTCAGGTGTTCATATTTGAGCTACATCAGTTACAGCCAAGAGTCAGGCTTATGCACAGAAGCAGCCAGGGATGGGCAGTTTTTGGAGAAAGTTTTGGGTTGACATGGGCTGAGCAGACTGTAATGTGTATTTCCTACAATTTAACAGAGGATTTTGCTGCCACTTTTCTTAAGGCTATCTTGGGCATGTTTTGCCCACTCATCTTTATTTATTTAAAAGTTTTATTATTTTTGGCTGCGTTGGGTCTTAGTTGCAGCACTTGGGATCTTTCATCGTGGCGTGAAGGCTTCTTTCTAGCTTTAGCGCACAGGCTCACTAGCCCCTTGGCTTGTGGGATCTTAGTTTCCCCACCAGGAGTTGAGCTCAAGTCCCTTGTTTTGGAAGGTGGAGTTTTAATCACTGGACCCTCAGGGAAGTACCCACCTTGTCTTAATTTAAAATGAGGGCAGATTTGGTCTTGCAGTTTTGCTTTTCAGAGTTCTTTTGTACTTATTATTTTACCATTTCAGAAAAGAACAAAATGGTGAATGGCAGTAGTAACATATTGATCCTGTTGATCACACTGAGGTATAGTTGGTTTTCCAGACTTTAGAAATAGAGTCTCTTGGGCTTCCCTGGTGGCTCAGAGGGTAAAGAATCTGTCTGCAATGAGGGAGACCTGGGCTTGATCCCTGGGTTGGGAAGATCTCCTGGAGAAAGGAATGGCTACCTACTCCAGTATTCTTGCCTGGAGAATTCCGTGGATAGAATAGTCTGGCGGGCTACAGTCTATGTGGTCGCAAACAGTCAGACACAGCTGAGCGACTAACACTTGCTCAAGCCCTCAGTAAGTGTTAGCTAATAACAGTAACAATGATCAATAACAACCAATGCAATGTCACAGTCTTTGTAGACTGGGACCTGGGGACCGGAGTCGACAAGAAGGACACAGGGGACCCAAATCTCGAGTGAAACAAGGGTGCTTTATTTGAGAAAAAGGCTTGTTCATACAAGGCAGCTTTAGGCAGTAAAAAAAATTGAGCAAAAACAAAGCCAAGCAAATAACAATCTTCAAAGGGCCAGAAAGCATTCCATATCCTGAGTAAGAGGGGCATAACTGAATAGATTACATTTAAGTAAAAGGTCACTGAAGGGAGTCACTGAAAGGAATCCAAGCAGGTGCCCTTTCTCATGATCTCAGTCCTGAGAACTGTGTGGAACTCTGCTCATTCCTGTTTTCCAGGAACTGATAAGGAATAGAGAGTCTTTGAGAAACGGCACACAGAAGAAAATAACATATTGGATCCCTTAAAGTTGAACGTCCCCTGACAATTACCCCTTTTTTATTTTTCATAACTCCGGGTGACTGTAGATACTTCTGTGAAAAAGGCCCTGATCAATTGAGTTTGTTTAGTTTGAACAATATTGGTTGAAAGGTATCAGTATATTACAAATATAATCACCAGGATAATTATCAGCATTGTAGTTCCAGATCCAATACTATGTGTAATGCTTTGAAATCATCTTCGAGGGTCTAGCCCAGATAATTGATCAGCTAGCTGTTCAGCTAAGGTTTCCAAATTGTTGGAAGAGGGTAGACTCTTACAGAAGGTTTCAAGGATTTCCTTTTGCAACAATTGTACATTTATGTATATCTTGCAAATGAAATTTGATTTGTTTCCAATTGTAAGCACTATGGTTGAACCAAACAGGAGTGATAAAAAATTGAGTAGAATTCCAATCACAATTTAATAATACTTGTTTTTGTAAATCTATTAATTGATCTCCAACCCATTGGATAGCTGTTTTTAATTCCTGAATTTTATCTTGAACTTTTTCATCTGTCTGAACCTGAGTGACCCATATAGTATGAACATCTTTAGTCCAATTTTGAATAAAGTTTTGTGTTTGAATTGAAGTTTGTAAAGCAACGTCTGTGACAGCAGCAGTGGTGCAAATGGCTATTAACCCCCAAATGCCAAGAATCAACCATCCAATGAATTGCTTAGATCGTCGGAGTAATTTAGTGAGTAACTGGGAGGCAAGTCTTGCCATGGGACCCTTCTTCCAGGGTCGTTGGAGATCTACTGGCAACCACAGACTACGTTGAGATCGAAGAATCAAAAGGGATTTGTTTTTTTAGAGAAATAGAGGAATTAAGACAAGTATACAATTTGCAATCTATACAAGTCACAGGATATAAAGTCTTATTAAACTGTAAGTTTCCTATGGCTATAACAAAAGGAAGGGGAACACAAACTTGTATAAAATATGAATGATTATAATGGAAGGAATAGTTACTATGACTATGACTGGTCCCTGTGAAATATCCAGTCTAAGTTCCAAGTTTTTCAGTACTTGTAGCAAGTTTCCAGATGTCCCATTGTTCAGGCCCAATTTGTTTATTGAGGACGATTTGAGGGTGAGGAGGTAATATTCCGCTGTCAAGCCAGCCAAGAAGTCCTTTGTCATGGAAGTGTTCCATTGAACTGTTGGTAATCTTCCATGTTACTTGAGTAACATAATCACACATAGTACTGTTAATATCATCTGAGCAGTTAGATAACCACATACCATAGGGTCCCCAATCAACAATGCTGTAATTGGCCACAAACATTAATTTCCCTGATTTACCTTGATATCTGTCTCAATAAACAGGAGTATATTTAAAATCCTTATAAGTAAACCCCTTACATTTCAACTTTTGTCCTTTTCGTAGAGTTTTGGTAGTATTGACACGGTTCTCATAAAAGGACAGGGCAGTAAACAGTCTAAACAATGTGTGAAAGTTCTTTTTTGGAGGCAGGACGAAAGCCCACATTTGTCAACTAACATTAATACATAATTCTGCTGGGCCTATGTATAAAGGAAGGATTTCATAGCCTAGAGAAATGTTAATTAGTCTTCCTTCTTCCTCAGGATGAGAGGACCCCTCCAAGCTCCAAGGAGGAGGCATATGTACTGAGTCATTAGTGGATACGATCGGTCCTATATCTGTCCATTCTATAACCTGCAATAAAGGGGGATTAGGTATATAAGCCCAATAAGTGTGATTAATCAAGTCAGCCTGAGCTGGGGAAGCAAAAGCAAGCAAAGCAAGCATAGCGACAAAAATAATTTCAGGATTCCGAGGCATTCCCTCTTGAGAAACCAGATTTTCAGCTTGATTAGTAAGGGTTTTTATCTGTCCCCAAGTAGGGAGATCATAAGGTCGATGATGTCGAGTGTGGCATTTCCTGAAAATTTTTAAAGCTGCCATGGCTTGTACTGAAAACTCTTCCTCCTGGGGATTTTGCTGTTTCTTCTCTATCTTGAGTGCTGGTGGCTCTCCTGGGGTGGATCTTCCGAAGAGGGAGCCAACTGATTTCGTTGGATCCACCTGGAGAAATACAAGCATACCCCTTTCCCTGTAATATTAATTTTCCAGATTTCCATTGTTTAGTCAACCTGTCTTGACACCAAATGGGCAGAGGAGGGGAGGTGTCCTTCAATGCCTCGAAATGTTCTTCTGCTTTTGTCAAAATAGCTCCTTGCGGTAAGTTTAAAAAATTTAAAACAAATAAAGCTGTATTAACAGTAGTTATAGGATTAAAGAATATATTGTGTTCGAATCTAGTAAAGTCTGCTTTGCATAAGGAAGATGTAAGCGTTCCTGTGTATTCCCCCTTTTTAAATTTTTTTATTTGTAGTTTCAGTGTGTGATGTGCTCGTTCAACTATGCCCTGTGCTTGTGGATTATAAGGAATACCTGTAGTATGTTTAATAGAAAATGATTGCAAAAATTGTTTGAATTGCCTAGAAATATAGGTAGGGCCATTGTCTGTTTTTATAGAACTAGGTGTTCCCATTATTGTAAAGCAAGTTAATAGGTGGGTTATAACATGTTGTGTAGTTTCACCTCAGGGAGGTGTGGCCCATATAAAAGGAGAATTTGTATTGATTGACACATGTAAGAAGGAAGAGGGAGAAAGTTCAGAGCAATGAGTGATATGCATTTGCCATAGTTCATTGGGTTGTAATCCTCGAGGATTGATATTTTGTGCAATGGGTCAAAGATGTAAGGTCCTACAAGTAGAGCAATTATTAATGATTTCTTTAGCACGTCGGTATGGAATTTTCCAGATTTGATGTAATGAGTCAGCATTATTGTGT